CATAGACATATTTTTGTGCTATTGTACAAGACAAATCATTTTTTCAGTTTTTATTAGAATATGTAAAATATTTTTATTTACTTTGATCTCGTATTAGAGTCTTTTATCTGTTATATCATTTTGTATTTACAGAGACTGAAAACTTTAATTCAGTAATAGTGCTATAGAAATTCAAGATTTGAGTGATATTTGCTCTATCGGGAGTCTGTTATCAGCATTTGATATGGAAGATGTGGGCTAATCTATTAAATGCAATAATTTCACCTTGTTAGGCAATCTTTTGCCATAACTACTTATTTGAGAAAATAATGAATCCAAAGGGCTCCTTTCTCCTCTTGCCCTTAACCATTATTTGTCCTTAGTCTTGGTTAAAATTTATAAGGTTCCCATTATTTGAAAAAAATAAAGACAATATGTGCATTTAAAAAAATAAAAATCCGAGGACCTTACTTTATGAAAGGCTTTCCCCCCCCCCCAAGACATAAGTAAAGCAAGGAGGTAGATTTTTGTGTATTTTAAGAATTTTTTGGCTTTTTGTGTGTGTGGTGGGCATCACATTTACACCTCAATTTTATTTTTTTCTATAAAACATTACAGATATATTTGAAATCATATCCTTCAGAAAACCAAAGCAAGAAATTCATGTTTCCTGAAATGTTTTATTTTTGAGATGCTTGTGGCTGTTTCTCAATCCAAGTTGGGTTTTTTTTTCCAATATCTTTATTTTAATGTGGTGCTGAGACTCGAACCCAGTGCCTCATGCATGCTAGGCGATCATGCTACCACTTTAGCCACATCCCAGCCCCAAGTTGGGTTCTTAATATCTTTAAGAAAACCAACTTAGCCTGGAGAGATAAAAGTTAACTTCACTTTAGGACTGTGAACCAGTCCTATGTTAGTGGTGACTTTGTGAAAATATGGGAATAACAAATTTGGTTTCTTCTATATTTTCACAACACAAAAATACTTCTGTGACTTTATATGTGTGTGGGGTTTCCCACAGCACCAGTGTAGTCCTTCAGCAAACATTGAACACCTACTAAAGACCAACTGGGTGTGTTCTATTTCAGTTCAGTTCTGATGCTGTCCTCCTGGACACAGCATCAGTTCCCACAAGTTGAGGCCCCCAAGACTGTCCCCATCCCAATTTTAGATGCCAATCACAAGCTCAAGGTTGTAGGTTATTTTAGCTGTGCTTCTGACAGACTCTAAATTGAGATTCCCACAACCCCTTTCTTGCATCTAATTAATATGCTAGAGTGTCTCATTGAACTCAGGGAAATATATTTCCCAGCTTATTATAAAATATATTACAGGGCTGGGGATGTGGCTCAAGTGGTAGCACACTCGCCTGGCATGCGTGTGGCCCGGGTTCAATCCTCAGCACCACATATAAACAAAGATAGTGTCCACTGAAAAACTAAAAATATTTTAAAAAATTCTCTCTCTCTCTCTCTCTCTCTCAAAAAAAAAAATAAAATATATTACAAATGATCCATATAAAAAGATGAATCAGGGAAGATGTAGGAAAAGGGGCACCAAGCTTGACTATGTAGGCATTATTGATTAAATGGTTGGCTGTTGGTGATTGACTTAACCTCACTCCCTCTCCAGTCTTCAGAGATTTGGGACTGGAGCTGAAAGTCCCAATTCTCTGAATTCTGCCTTAGTATTTCTGGTGACCACACCCTGAAGTCATGTGTCAACTATTAGTATACAGAAAGATATTTGTCAGTTTGAAGGTTCCAAGGATTTGGGGAATTGTATCCCAGGAAATGGGAACAGGGCCAAACACATATTTCACAATATTACTTCAGATAACTGCCTAACATCCATCCATCCCTTCTTTCCTTCTTTCCTTCCTTTCTTTTTCTTTTTTTGTTATGGTACTGAGGATTGAACCCAGGGTACTCTACTACTGAGGTATATCCCTAGCACCCCCACCCTTTTTTTGAGATAGGGTCTTACTAAGTTGCCCAGGCTGGCCAAGAACTTGTGACTTCTTGCCTTTGCCCTGGAGTAGCTAGGTTTATAGGAGTGCACCACCATACCTGGATTACTGCCCAATATTTCTGTGCCTCTGTTTTTCCATCCATAAAATGTGTTTTAGTAGGTTCTCAATGTTTGTTGAATGAGTGAGGAAATGGATGAATGAATAATAACCAATACTTACTGAACGCTAACCATGAACTCGACATTTAAGTTCATTTTCTCATTTAAGCCCTATGAAGCAGATGTTGTTATTAACTGTAATTTAAAAAGGAGAAACTTAAGTTTAATTAACTTGCCCCACATCATCAGCTAGCAATGTGTGACATTTTAATCCCGGCTTTCTAACCTGTGCCATGTTCTTAAACATGCCATGTCTAAGTTCCCCCCTGGCTTCCAGAAGAGAAAGTCAGCTGAAGGCAACTAGCAATATTCCAGCAGTCTTTTGCCTGGTGAACTTGAGTCTGTGCCTTGTATAGTTACATCACGTGGAAAAGGAACTCAACAGGGCTGGAATCTCTCACCATGTGATCTCTAATCTTGGATGACGAAACTCTTATCTTTTGTGTATTTTTTTTTTTAAACTTAATATTTATTTTTTAGTTCTCGGCGGACACAACATCTTTGTTGGTATGTGGTGCTGAGGATCGAACCCGGGCCGCACGCATGCCAGGCGAGCGCGCTACCGCTTGAGCCACATCCCCAGCCCTCTTTTGTGTATTGAAGAGTACATAACTAAGGTCCTTCCAAACCAAAGAGACAGAGTAATTGACCTCAAAGTATGTACTACCCTTTGACCCCTTTGGGGGTAAACGAGGGGCATGGAGCTAAGAATTACTGCTCTTGTTCAGAAATCTAACATTCTCAAAGAGAAATTTGAGTCCTGTGAAACAAATGGCCAATGGATGCTGCAGAGTGAGATGTCCATGCTCCACTGTTGTTAACTGAAGGCACAGATGGTAATATTATTAATATTTAGAATGTATATGCATGGACATTGAGATTGAGTTTATGGAACTCTGAAAAACTTTGTTTCATTTAGCAAACAGCCAGTGCCACATAGTGACCTGGCTATGCGGCATTTGAAATGAGATTTTGGGGTTTTTTTCTATGGTTTAGAAATGTTCCATTTTTTTTTTTAATACTTATTTATTAGTTATTGGCGGACACATCATCTTTGTTTGTATGTGGTGCTGGAGGATCGAACCCGGGCCGCACGCATGCCAGGCGAGCGCGCTACCGCTTGAGCCACATCCCCAGCCCCTAGAAATGTTCCATATTTTGGAATAATACTTATTATATAGGGAACACATTCTAAGACATAAACGGAACATTTTTATAAAGCTGTAGAGTGACTCCAGTAACACTGTGTTAAGGGTCACTTGTACGTCTCCAAAATGGAGCTGCGGCTATATGTGTGAAAAGCCAAGGGAAACTCCCAACCGATGGGTCCCATGTGAGAAGCAGTACAACTTAGTCAGAGTGTATCTTCACTAATCTACTTTTAAAATGCCTCTTTAAAAACAAAGAGTGGCCAAGAGGAGTAGAACAGAGAAGCTTTCCCAAATGAGCAAAGAGGTTGAGATAGTTAGGGAGTAGAGAACTGGAAAGAAAACGGAGGAATTGCAATTTCTGAGTGTTTTCTTACCTAAGATCACCCATCTAAAAGTATTTAATGCATCATGAACTCTCACAAGTACTTATTGAAATACATAAGGTATTTTATGTCCTTTTGCCCCCTGCCCTTCAAAACAACAACAACAGCAACACAAATTGTATTAAGACTGGTACAAGCCAGTAGGCAGCAAAAATATTCTTGTTAATTTTGGAAGCCAACAATATGTCATCTTACACGACAGAGTGCTCTTTTACTGGTTCTCTGAACATATCCTGTGATGTCTGAGTATTGGATAATATAGTACCTTTCTGGCTTAACTGAGCATTTTCTTGCTTTCTTTGGTGTCTGTCAAAATAAATATTCTAATGTTGATGTATATAAATATTAAAAAACTTAATGGTTAATAATGGAAAAATTAAAGATGCATTAAATATTTTTAGAACTCCAAGCAAAGCATACATAAGTTTTTAAAAATTTTCAATAGGGACCTCTAAAGTTTTTAGATTAGAGAGAAGTTTTTTTTTGTTTGTTTGTTTCCAATAGTGGGGATTGAACCCAGAGGCACTCTATTAAATGACCTACATCCCTAACCCTTTATTTATTTATTTATTTTATCTTGAAACAGTCTTGCTTAAGTTGCCCAGACTGGCCTTAAACCTGCAATTTTTCTGCTGTGGCCTCCCAAATAGGTGGGATTATAGGCATGTGCCACCATACCTGGCTGAGAGATGTTTTAAGATGGATTATAGGCATGTGTCAACATGCCTGGCTGAGAGATATGAAAAAATAGAGAGGATTAGCTCTGAAGAAATTTGTAAAACTGTTAAAAAACAATTAATGGCATTAAATTGTTAACTCATTAAATGGAGTGCCATAAACATGTACCAATGAATGTTTATGGTGTCTTGGCAAATTACTTGTATTTACTAAGGAGTATTTTTCCTTGTGTAAAATATCTAAACTGTACTTTAACAATTTAAAATACATTTATACCATACATATTGAAGATACTATGTTCATGGAATCAAAATTTAAGACAATGTCTAAATGCTTAGTTATATGATGTCTATTAGGAAAAGTTGAAAAGATGATAATAAAATTGTGTGGTACACTTTAAGCCAATATTAATACACTCAAGAATGAGAACAAACAGAATTCTTCCTTATAATACCAGATAGGCAAAGATCATCTTTCTTCCTCTCTACTGGCTGTCTTATTTCCTTGTTAAACTTAAAAGAAACTTTTTAAAGAATTTCAAGATATTGAAACATCTAGATTAATTGAACATTCTGAGTAACAACAAAAGAAATTGCCACACATATGAAACTTTTATTTCTGAGTTACATTTCAAAGAAATAGAATTATGATGATCTTAATATTAAGACTAAATCAAGTGCTTGCTTCGGCAGCATATATACTAAAATTGGAATGATTCAAAGATTACTATAGCCCCCACACAAGGATGACATGCAAATTCATAAAGTATTCCATATTTAAAAAAAGAATAGCCTAAATGAAACATGATTTTACTGTTCTGTCGTTCAGAAGGCACCTTCTTTGTACAGATTCTTAGGGCCTTCCACAGGAACCTAAGTTATCATTATCTATGACTACTGACAGTTCTGGTTATTTAGGTCTTATTAAAGAGAAGCTTATGGTATTGGCTTTGATTCTACTTTTGACTTCATATGCCTTCAGTGAAATAATTCAGAAATTCTCAAGGTCTTATTATAGTACAGTAGTTCCTTCTTTTGCCAAATATTTTCTCCAAAACTAAAAGTCACAATAACTTATGTCCTATTTATTAATTTAATTCTGATTTAATACACTATATTTACTAAAATTATATTCATTTTAATATATAATAATACTACACATATTAAATGATAACTAAAAGTTTATATCTGATCTATCTGTATGTTTTGCTATCTGGTAAATCAATGTGAAATCACATGCATAATGCATATGATTGGATTTTGCTTTGAAGTTAAGAGTCAAATTTAATTGGAAGATGAGTGACGTGAGCACATCATTTTGAACTTTTCAGTTTTTGAAAATATGTATCAAAATTACTGTTTTGAAAGAAAACAAATGATTAGCATTTTATTAGGTTAAGGTAGAGGCAATATTATTCTATTAGTTTTACCACAGGTAAGATGGCTTATTTTAAAAAGTATCTTGCAGAGTTGAATTATAATTTTATTTAATTCTCTTTTATAGCTTTTTCCTGGTAACATAATTTGACTTTAAGTTATACTAAAATTTGACTATATCTAAAAGAGATTAAAGTTGTAATCATCCATTTTATGAGAACATTATGACTAATATTACAGAACCCTGAAAAAAATCCTGTAATGTTTTGAAAAAAGTATAAACATGTAATAAATAAAAAAACAAAAACTTACATTTAGGAAAATGCACTTAGAGACCAGTTTCACAGTGGTCCTATTAAGAGAGTTGACATTTCCCATATTGGAATTCGTAGAAAACAGGTGCATAGCTGCAGGGAAGTTTATTTTCCAAGCTGACATAATAAAACCACAATGTATCCATTTATATTTTATTCACGGGAAGATACAGGACATGTATATTATTGTTAAGTTTAGGACAAAAGGAAAAACCAACAATTCAGTGGAATTATAAAGGCTAAATAATTTTAGATACTTGATTTTTGTACTAGGAGTTGAGATTTGGAAAATGATGACATTTTATTTTATTTATTTAAATTTTGCTGTTTGGGGGAATGAATCTAGGGCCTTGTACATGGTAAGCAAGTACTCTACTTCCAAGCTATATGCCCATTTTTTTTTTTTTTTTTTTTTTGGTAGTGCTGGGGATTGAACCCAGGGACTTGTGCATACAAGGCAACCAGTTTACTAACTGGGCTATATTCCCAGCCCATGCCCAGCCCTTTCTACTCTTAATTTTGAGGTAGGGTCTCACTGAGTTGCCCAGCCTGGCTTCAAACATGCCATTCTCCTGCCTCAGCTTTCTGAGCAGCTGGGATTATAGGCGAGTGCCACGGTACTCAGCAACATCAATTGTTTGTATTGGTGGCTGGGCAGCCTAAGAAAGGGCAATCCTGTAATTCTTACTTAGTTATGTCTCTAAATTTATTAAAGATTTTTTGATAAAAATATTATACTGATTTCATCAATGAGATGACTTTGTAAGAAAACTTCCCGTATCTTCCTAGTAAGTCTGGCTTGCTTCTGAATGTTTAGTACATATATATCATTGAAGCAGTGTACTTTTTTATTGAGGTTAACCATGAGCAAACATTTTGCATGACTTATCTCACTCAATCCACATAAAAATTTTATAAAAACATCTTTATTTTTTAATTGATTTTTTTAAAACAATAAATGACAGTGGAATGCATTACAATTCTTATTACACATATACAGCACAATTTTTCATATATCTGTTTTATAAAAACATCTTTAAATGCTCTGACATACTGTTCTTATTTCATTGCATTAAATAGTAGGCCACATATTTTTTTGAGGGTTAGTTTTTCCTGTACATTGTTAATTCAGCTTTATTTTCTATACTTTATATTTTTGCAGACTGGATTCTAATATGTACAATGATGCTCCAGAATTTTAAAAATAACTTACATAATAAAGCATTTCCCACTTGTAGTTTCTTGCTGAGTTTTGTAGTAGCCATTGACCTTAATTCATCACATAAGATCTCAATAAAGATCCTGATTTCATTCTTAGCCTTTTTTGTGGAAAAGAACAGAATGCCAAGAATGCTGCTAATATGCCACTCATTTAAAAATAATTAAAATCAGAGTTTGTTTTCATAATAAAACCATCAGCAACATGGAAAAACTGTTTCTGATGAAGGCAGTACATGAAGTAGGGAAAACATCAGCTAAGGTCTACAGCTATCATAATTACCCTATTCTACATGCCCTGGGCACTTAACAATTTGTTATATTATTTTCTATTTATTAATTTGTTGGTTTTCACTGTTCCACAATTCCATACATTCCTCCATTCCTCTTTTGTCATCTTAACTACTTCATACTCTCTCCAGGGCAGGACCCTATCTTTAAGGGTGTTTTTTTGTTTTTTTGTTTTTTTAATAGAGTAAATTAACATTTCATGAAGGTGAACTGAAGATGATCAAATAATCATTTCTATGTGAAGGGAATTATTAACACTACAAAGAAATATAATTTAATTTGAGTCAAAGTAACAAGATATGATTCTAAACTTATGATACTCTTTAAGATGTGTGTCTCTTTAAGAGCAAGATCAACAGGACTAAACTATCAACAAACTCAGTTTTTCATGGAAAAATCTCGAGGAACAAAATGTTTATTAATTTTATAAAGGTAAATTCTGGTATGCTATTTCACAGTAAGGTGACTATAACAACAACGTGTTATAGAAGAAAGGATTTTGAAAGTTTTCACCATAAAGAAATGTTAAATATTTGAGAAGATATGTATTACCCTGATTTAAACATTACACAAGATAGACATATCAAAATACCATATGGTACTTCATAAGTGTTTATAATTCTTATAATTTTATGTATAAGTTAAAACACAAATTTGAATTTAAAAAGTAAAAATTAAAAAAAATCATCTATAAAGGTGAAGTCTCAGACTGTGGGGGTAGTGTTTATTTCCTAGGCCTCTGATGTAGAGTTTTAAAAGTGAAAACAAAGCACAAACACCTTATTGTCATGTCTTATGGCCCAGAGTGTCAAATTGGCTTCCTAGGAAGTCATCAGAGTGTTCATTTGTGGGTTATGTTAGTTGTTATTCAGGCTATTAGTCCTTAATCAGCACCCTAAGAAGAATGGTTTTACTACATAGTTTGTCTTTATGTATTAGACTTATCTATGATTATTTTCAAACTATTGTAGATTCATTTTTTGAATCTAGAAAATATAGACCAAAGCTTTTTACACTACAGGTAACCAGGGCATAGAAAGAGTGATAGGCTCTCTGCAGCTGTCGAACTGTGAGTGGGACTCGACCAGATACAAATGTTAACTATTTTATTCTTTGTCTTATTTATAGGTATTATGCTTGTAAAATAGCAAAGTTGTTTTCTGTGATATTAATTTTTGGTGACTTACAACCAGTGAAGTAGGAAGAAATTTAACATTAGTCCTGCATGGAAACAATTCAGAATAGAATTTCTACATGGCAGACAGATTTTTTAAAATATTAACAATTGGAGGAGATAATATTAAACAATATATAATTACTACTCAATATTTCCCTAGGTATAGTGATAGCCTACTCGGATTTAACAGTGATGCTTCTAGAAGAAAGTGATGTTAGTTTCTCTATGGGAACAAGAAGATTCTGAAACGTGTGGTATCCACTCTTCTTGCTGAAGAAAGAAGTCAAAGTAACCTGGTTGTTGGAATTTCATTCGCTCACTAAAAATACAGACACAATAATGTCAGTAAGACCATCATGGGCATCCTTGGTCTTTTTTCCCCTAGAAGAGAAAACAACTCCTTTTCCTTGTCAATTTCTCTGGAACTTCCAGTAGCTTTTTTTTTTTTTTTCTCTGCTTAAATATCATCTTTTCTCTTAAGATAACCACCAGATTCAGCTAGCAATAAAACATGCCTCTCAAGACCGACAGAAAAGATGTATGGGTTCTATGGGTGGGTGTTTGATTTATAATTCAGACAGAATCTCTGGTGTGGACAATGATTGAAGTAAGGTCTTCTGATAATGGCCCAGAATAGTTTTGACAGTCCCCTTACCTCATACTTCACCAAAGTACTTGCTGAATTTCCTGAAGCTGGGACAGCAATTAGGTCCATAAAAATGAAGTTCATTAATGAAAACTAATTGAAAATTAATTCACCATGACTCCAGGGAAGTGCTTGCATTTAAAATGTTGTGTTGTTAGCAAGCGAGTCTCTAATCATCAGAGCATGGCAAAATACTTCAGAATGACACACAGGTTAATGAGGTGGTGAAGCATCGGAAAAACAAAGTCTTGTAACATTAAAATACCCACCATGCTTAAAATGCTGCCATGCCCCTCCCTTCTGGCTTCCCTTTCTGCCTCACTCTACCTTCTTATTTTATTATCATGAGTCAGAGCAGATGCCACATTATTATCCCATCCCTCAATAAATCTCTCCCAGAGAAGATTTTTTGCAATAATTCTCCAAGTTTTGATTACTAAATATGAACTTTGCAAATGCCAGTTTATATACTACATACACCTTAAGGATTTCTCTCTGTTTTTTTTAAACATTTTATTGTAGAAAATTTCAAACACCCAAAGAGCTAATTCTATAGTGAAAGCTCTCCTACCCCCAAATTCAACAGCTATCTACTAGGAACTATTTGAAATCACATTTCAGTAAAGTTGAAGGAACAAATATGTACTTAAGATACTTCCTTTCTCACATGATATTGCACATGATCTTTCTCACTTAGCTAAGAAGTATTTACTAAAGGTATCATATGTACAAGAGTGAACATAAAGAGATAGGATATT